ATCAACATGATATGGATTTAAAATTCCTGATGTTTGTGTCAACATCATCAATAGTGTTTAAAATTCATGGTGTTAAATCCATACCAATATTTTTTAGATTGTAGATACAGATCTGAAAATAGTTTTGCTGGATTATCAAAATAATTTAGAATGCTCGAACTTTTTGCAGCATTGCTCATCATGCTTAAGTTTCCTACATAACGATTTGAATAGATTCTCATCAAAATTATTTTCAGATTTGTATCTACGAGTACCTAATTTTTAGATATCTGTGTACGATTTCGATAGAGACCGCAGGAAAACAGGGGGAGGAGGATAAACGTTGTTGATTTCTGAGATCAGAGATCGTATCTGTAATCCATGGTGAAGCGATCCTGGGTACAATCCAGGGAAAAGGGATCTCTGTGCGTGGATATTGTTTGTACGTAACTTACATATACAGGAAGACTGAGTACAAAGCGGCGGTTCCACGTGACCCACGACCTCGCCTCTAATGAGCGGCAAAGCTTACGGCTATTGTAAGAGAACCTCCTCCTCCCCCGTCGCCGAGGGCTTAACTCTCCGTTTTCTTCGTGCTCTGCCCTCCACCCGAATCCTTTCTTCTGCCTGACCGTGCTCTCGTACGTTTAACTTGAATACAATAAGACAGAAGAAAATTCAATCCTCCTCCGTCCCTATGATTCCGCATACATTTATCATAGTTTGCGTATGCTAACTTGCTCATGCTACAAAAGGAGATTAAGCGAATCTCTTTGTGCAAGAATTAATTTACAAAGTGCGTCGAAACGTCCGCAATCGATTTAGTATTTAGCTTCTGATGCTAAATAAAGATATTAGATTTTTAATTGAAGGGCTTGCTATGGATTTTAATCCACATTTTATAAAAATAGATACAATAAGCTTTGAAGTTAAAGTGATGGGGAAAATACATTTATTTGCACATGCTATAAAAACTGTCTTTTATTTTGGCACGTGTCCGACAAGGTTTTATTACAAGTTGCATAGTGAATAAGGAATATGGGAAGAATAACATTTTTCTTGTATTCGACAGTTAGATTACCGATTGATAGAAAAAATACAAATCACTGCATGATATCATAACAGCGATAACAGTGATTAGCACAATCTTCGGAACAAATAGAGGTCATTCATCCATTTCTACCAGTATCTATCATATATTCGATTACGTTGTGGGTTAGCTTATTATTGCAGCAAGCCCTTTAATTTTTAAATATTTTATAAACCGAAATAAAATAGCCTCGCTAGATTCGCAAGTTGTAACTAACTAATAATATCATAATCTACGATATCTATAGATATATACAGACATCGTAGATTAGGGGTGTGCTAGATGATAACGTCTTCGATATTTCGCGCAAAGTCTCCGCGAGTCGCGATAACCGCACGGTCATCGTCAAGAGGAAGATCAGTGATTCCACGAAGCAATCGACAGAGAAAAAAAAAAGGATAAGAGGCACAACGGGAGAGAGACGACCCGACCCGAGCAAACCCGCGAGTTCGCCGCACCGTTCTTGTTGAGCGAATCGACAAGACGGGCGCGGCGAAGGGGAACACCCTGTACATGCCGACGACATTCCCGAAGTGCAGCGTGCAGTTTTTCGCGGCTACCAGTGCAGCGGGTAGCCTGTGACGAGCGAGCGAGTGACTCAGAAGCTTCGAGGTAGACGCAAGGGCGAAGCAAACACGCACGTGCTCTCTCGCGTATGCGTCTCTACGTGCATCCGCGTACACGTGTATACACGCGCGCGCTCCGTGCGTGCGTGCGTTGCGTACGTGCGCCTGCAGCCGGATCACGGAGAGGAGAGGAAAAAGGGAGAAGGGAAGCGCGAGATTTATTTGCCCGAATTTCGATGGCCGCGGCTGTGCTGTGACCGCGCCGCTTCCGAAGAATGCATCTCGCATTCGGGATCTTTCGCGGAATATGTCTTACGGCGGATTCTCCCGAAGGGGTTCCCCTCGAGTTCGACCGTTGCTTTTCCACCACCGAGTCCACTCTCGTCGCGCCGGGAGTCTTCAATGTTCGCTTTGTTTAAAGGACGAGGTCAAAGACACGACTAAATATTTCGAACATTTTTGCGAATTATTCGAAAATTTTACGAGCTCGTGATGCACTCTGAGGTTGAGATCCTTTAAAATTTTTGTCATTAGTTTTATATATTTTTTGAAAATTTTCCAAGTTTAAATCTATGAAAATAAGATGGTAAAATATAAAATTATTCCAAATCATTGTTATTTAAAAATTAGGAAAAGTTTCAAGATCACTAGGACTTGTACGTCCCAGTGAGTTAAGCTCTCTGCTATCCAAGTTGGACTTTAAAGTCTATATTTTGATTTTTGTAAATCTTGCACTTTAAAAAATATGGATGTAGATTTAACACCATACGGTGTATATATAATTTTAACTGTGTTAATATTAAAGGTGAGAATCAATTTAAACATGATATTACCAATATAATTAATATTAATAGTACAAATTTAAAATCCATGGTGTTAAATCCATATCCATATTTTCAGGAGTGTGTTAGATAAATTCAAATCTGTAAAAGATCATTAAAATACAATCCGACTTCTACGTAATAGTAAACACTAATTGTTACAGTTTTCGCAAGAATTTTTTTAGATTTTTATACAATCCAAAATATTATAAAAATCTACACTGAAACTCAAAGACCCCAGTAGATTGTTGACGAAAGTGCGAAACTTCACATGGCTGACGTAAGTTTAAATTCAATAATTAATTGTTATCAACGGACTCACAGTCGTTATTCCCAAGCTGAATCGCAACGATGTCCTATAAATCAATATGTAACCAATGATCGGAGAGACATACGTCTCGCCGATGATATATCGTTTTGTCGTGGATTCTCTCGAATCGGCACTATTAGGCCGTCGACATTGTCGATACTTTTTGTGGGGGAAGAAGTCACGCGAGGTGGACCTCGCGTGTCCCTTGTGTCCCGTAAACGACGACTAGTACCGCGATTAACTAATGTGTCGGACCGGTTAGGAGCGTATTGATCAGAGACCGAGACTAGATTTATGTCGGCGAATGATTCACGGCACGTGATTTACAGCGGATTGTCCGGTGCGCACGCATACTGATTGAGCATTTATGCCGCTCTCCCGGCACTCTGCGGCACACTAATCATTTATTGGGTTAAGGTGAAATCCTCCTTCCCTCTGCCGGAGGGTACAATTCGATTTCTTATCCCTTTCTGCTCCGGCCTTGTGCTTCAGCATTTCGATTACGTGGCAAATGCACGGAATCGAAGACTCGTCGTTACAGAAAAAAATTGAAACTATTGATTTGAAATATCACGGATTTCAAATTATTCAATTTACAAATGAATTTCCGGCATTTAATCTTTTATTATTTACATGAAATATCCAGGACGTCCCCGTCTCATAAATTTGTTCAATGTATTAATTTTATTTGTATACATTATATATTAATACAAATTGTTTCACAGTATAAAAATTTTTTTTGCATTTATGAATGTTTATCTGAAGGTATAGAATATTATCTATCTTTATTTATAATTGTAAATCTTCAAAGACAGAAATAAAAATTGAGATATAAAATGTGAGAATATCAGAAATCTCACGTGAATGATTACGTTAAAAAATATATTGAAAAATCAAGCAAGTAATGTAAAATATTTTTTTTTGCTTTGTATACTCTCCTCACGTGACATATTTAAATACTTTTACATTTTCTGAAATTTGATAAGTAATTTATTGAAATTTCTCAGGAAATCGAGTTACGGAATCGAAGTTACGTAGGTACTCGATTCGCAGTGTTTATGTAAAGTGCAGACACAGCAGTCAGCGTGGTTACGTTTTAGAAAGCGCGTTCACCCTAACGGCGCGTCGCAAAAATCGCGTTTCCGTCGCCGATCGGAGTATTCGAAAGTCCTTTGGGAGCAGCGCTCCTTGTTTTTCATCTCTCGCTCTGTTCGATCCTCGATTACGAAGGCAGGACACGCGTCTCGCCTATAGAATGTCGCCGTAACGAAGGGGCCTCTTCTCTTTCTCTCTCTTGTCTCCTTCCATGCGTCCTCGCGAGGATACACTGCAGCTCCTTTACCTCCTCAGCATCTCGCCGGGTGATCCCTCGGTACCGATGAACGTTTAAATTAGGCAGGGAATCCCTCGGAATGTGCGAAAGAAACGACGAGATCGGCATTCCGCGAGGTTTTGATACGCCTTTGGGCGTATCGTGCTCATGGGGCATTATTAGCCCTTATGCGGCAGGAATGACTCTTAAGGGCCCGACCCGCGATCCTTCGCGCCGCGGCTTCGGAACATTTTGCACATTTTAAATCCTGCCCGCGAGAAGCGACTTGTCCACGATGACATCTTCGCTTTACTACATATGTAACTTTTTTTCTTTATATTCATATTTATTATGCTATTATTTATTTGTACAAGTACTTAATTTAATAATAAATTATTCATTTTAGTTTATTTTCGCAAATTCTTTACACTGTTTTAAGACAGTGCTTAGTAGCATCAATATCATTAAGTTGTTGTCAATTTAATTTGTGATATTTTCCTTACAAAAATCTAATATCAAGCAATTTATTACTGCAGTAATTACTTACTTATTTGGAGTATTAAAAACACTGTACTATTTTTAATACTTAAAATAAGTAATTAATTGCTATCTTTCAATATTAAATTAGCCAGTATTAGATTTTTGTAAAAGTATTATTCCAGTTTCAATTTAAGATTGCGTTTCAAGATCAAAAATTAAACCAACGCGCAATTTACAGAACTGGATATGTATATAAAATTCTCACCAAAATATTATTAAGCACTAAGATCGAACTCGAATCAAATAAGATATTTTTCTACTTAGTTACGTAAGCTGTGTTATTCACATATCGGACTAACGTTATTTATTGTTATTCAATAATTAATATTTGAGCCGTAATATTCAAATCAAACTAACTTTACACCTCTTCTGTTTTTTTCAGAGTCTGGCCACAGGTTGGACAGCGGCTCCCCGTTTTGGAGGATTCAACTTGACCAGGACCTTCTGGATACCATCAGCGCGATCTATCCGGAGTGGTTTAAGGTAAGGCCTATTTTACCCTTCTCTCACGCCATACGAGAATCAACATATGCTCATTGAACGAATTCGGGATAACGAGGTACGCTCGTACAGGATTACACTAACAGTCGAGCAGCATCGACGTCGTCCCCTACATCCGCAAGTGCTTCCGGCGCGCAATCCTGCAACGATAGCGCCGCCGTGGTCGTCGTCACCGGCGGTGAGCACAAGGTCGCCAAAAGCGACGCCAAGTCGAAGTCAAAAGCGAAAAAAGCGGACGGCCATAAGGATAAGGACCGGGACAGGAAGGACCCTAGGCGCGACGCCAAGGACGAGAGGTGAGATAATTTGCGTGCTGTATGTAGATTACACGACGTGGAGAGCAAGAAGCTGAGACTCACCAAGGTGGAGAAGGCTTGAGTTATATCGACTGAATATTAATAAAACCTTGTAAAATGAGGAGAATATCCGAGTCGCGTTATCACCTTCCACCAGCTTCCACGCGAGTATAACCGGTATGCACGCGTCTCGCGTACAAATAGAAGTAATGGATAAAGTACGCGTGTTCTCGATCGCACGCTGGGCGTAAGGCAGGGCGTTATCGTGATCAAGAAATAGACGCGTCGTCGCTCGGCACCTGCCTCGATTATTTTAACAAGCTCCACGAACTCCTCCCTGACGCTTTGTCGCCCATCACCCGCGTCATTATCTCAGGAGACGTTATTTCTATTAGGGCATTGCACCGCGCCGATTTTGCAGAAACGCAACAGGAAGAAGATAACTTGCTAAGTAACTGATTACCGTACGGGTCTGAGAGACACTCTTACCTGAGAGTCTTGCAACTCTCATAAAACTCTAAAACGCAGAAACCTGGATTTAATAATAATATTTTAATGCTAATGATATTAATACTTTGACTAGATATATCTGAGTGACGCATGACTTTCTGCAAGAACCTCGTCATCTATTTGTGAGTCACGGTTTTATATCTACCTACCCGATTCAGAATGATTTATTATTATTATTATTTTACTTGTAAGTGTTAAAGATATTTAAATACAGTCTGACAGTTACAATGTTTTAACTAGCACTTGAATTTAACAGTCAAATATAACTTTATAACTGTAATATCAAACAAGGACTACGCGAGATGATAAAGCCCTGAATTAATCTTTTCATTAAAGCTTCTATTCATTCTATCATCATCATATTACTATCTCAAATTGTGATGTCAGAAGCGAGAAGTTATATAATAATTCTTGCAAAATAAATTAATGTGGAAAATATGTTTTATACAAAATAATACTAATCGCAATTTATAGAATAAACTTGTAAAATATATAAAACTCTCTCTTCTTGTTTCGTTAATTAATAAATATACCATATATCGGGAAATGAATTATACATAATAAAAAAAAACGAAATAAGCTACATTCATAAACTGTCAAATTAATAATATATAGAAATAAATATGATTTAATTTCTTTCCGAAACAAAAAGACAGTATACTTTATAAATCTATTTTATCGATTAAAAATGCTTTTATGAAAAATATCACTATTCAAATATAATTTGCAAAAATTTGTATTGTTTTCTCGCTTCTGACAGCATAATTTGAGATAGTAACGATAAGTAACCAAGAATCTTATATAAATTAGATAATATTCGATTACTCGCTCAATGCTTGATTTTAAATAATAATTAAGCAGTTTGATTTAAGATTTTTCTATTACAAGTCGCTTAAATGAGAGACAGCAGGATTAGTCCGCAAACACAATAGAGTAGTAAGCCTTAAGCCTTAAGAAATTGATCAATCACGGTTGAATGTGAGAAGAATAATCGACTATGATTGGTTAATTCCTTAAGACTTAAAGCTTACTACTCTATTGTGTTTGCGGACTTAGTGTTCTCGCGGACCTCCGCACACCTCAATTCACTGCTGCGAGTTGCGAGATCGCACGGGATGCTAGGGCCGCGCCGAGCGGACGATTAACCCGCAATTTAGTATCAGTACCACGTGTAATCGTTACGCGAGAATATAAACGCTCTTAACGACCGGCTTCCTATCTCCAGCTGTGACGAGTAATCTTTTCTCGGAACTTTCTCCTCGGCGTACTTAAACTCACCGGGCCGTTGGTTCTCGACGCTTTAAAATCTTTAATCGGCTCGCTAACTTCTCTATACGTATAGATTCCACGCAAAGCGCCGTTCATGCAATTTTCTCTGAACTTTTCGTGAGATAAACCGAATAAGCGGATCTTCTGCGTGACATTTCGCTCGCGACACGACGTCTCGTGACCATCTGGATTCATGAAGCTCTCACGGAACTATCATCAGGTCTATCAAGATAAATGTGTTCACCCTTCGATGGCTAAAACGCTTATTTTTACCTTTTCACTGCAGAAGAAACGCGACTCGATATTCTCTCTATTATACTAGAATTATTCACATTCACGCGCGTTTATTTTACAAAATTTACTTTCATTGCACATGATATTCGCATTAACTGAAAACGAGAGTTAGAATGAAATACATTGTTTTAAAATGTATTTCTTCCTAACAATTCAATTTTAATTTGAATACGATATTCAATTCTTCATTATTTAATATTTTGGTAAAAATATCATGAAAATTCAAAATATTTGATATTGAAGAATTGAATAATGAAAGAAAAATACAATTTTTCTCGTAAAATAATGTGTTACTTATATACGTTAAATATTTTCTCTCGTATAACGTTAAATTTACTTTCCATATATTTCAAAAAATAATACAATTTATTATATACCTCTTCACTTTATCTAAGACTGAGCCAGTTCGTGGAAATGACGTATTATTTCTAGACGTTTTTAGTTTATTTAAGATCGAATAGACTCGCTAGGATACACACTCGAGATATAAACTCTCGTAGATATAACTCGAATACGTCAGAAATTTCTTGCTCAGTGAAGATTCGCGCTCGAAGAGAAGGAAAGACCAGCCGTTTCCGACTTTGCTTTCTGATGAAAACGTCGTCCGATCGAGTGTCGATTGATCCGTCATTCCATCATCCGCGGCAAAAACATGCCGCGAAGGACCCGGGATCCGATTGACACTGGAGCGTCGATCGGTACCCGGCAGGGCAGGCTCGATCGGTCCTCCTCTCTTCGAGCCGATGTATGAAAGATTAATTCACAAAACAGCAACGTTTTGCTCCGGTTCGGTCCGTTCTTCGGGCCTGTAGGGACGCTGGAAACGGTAAGAAAGGGACGAAGCCTTCGCCGCAGCAGGATAAAGCAGCGGCGGACGCGGCAGGAAGGAAGGCCGTCGCGAGTGCTGTTCCAGGATCGGAATCGAAGATGGCCGAGGGCAATCAGTCGCCGCCGAAGGCGGAGGTCGACGATTCACCCCTCCAACACGCCATGGATCGCAATAAGGAATGTGAGTACACACACATATTTTCTTTCATCTTCGTTCGAAAATATTGATTTAGCGTAAGAATTTCGCGAAGAAGTAATCGCCTGTGTCGGCTAGATCTCTTGCCGAGTCTTTTAAACAAACGCGAGTTCAAACTTCAATCACATTGAAAAAACATTTAAATGTTTTTTTATTAACTTTTTAGACACACGAATGTATATATGCTTAATTTTTTTTAATTATATTACTGACAAGGGAAAAATATTCACCACAGTATTTTTAATTGTTTCTATTTCTTCGTTAGTTAATTATATAAATTTAAATTAAATGTGATATAATTGAACAAAAAATTAAATTATACTTTCTTCCATTTTTAAAAATTCATGAAGAAAAGTTAAACTCACAATTTGGTGCCAATTTCTAGCAAAATTTTAATTTTGGTCGTGAATGTCATCAGACGATATGTCAATGAAAATAAATGGAAGTGATAAGAATCATCTGGACACCTTGTGTACATTAAGTTCCGTTTGCCGACACTCGCTTTTCCTTTCCCCCCCCCCCTCCGTCGTGGAAACGGAAGCGTCGCTTTTCGACGTCCGGAATAAATGATGAAAAGGCCTAACGGTCCCTGTCGCGACGATCGCTTCCGATCGAATAATCGCGCACGGGGTATTCGCTATTATTATGCGATGCAGTCTGAGCTGTTGATGCGCGAGCGTGTTGCATGCTCATCGTCGCAGTTACATACCCCGCAATGTTATACGAGCTTTACCGAGCACCTCCTCGGGAAGGCGCCTATAATAATCGAAGAAGGCGCGGAGACGGCTCTTTTTAACATTCGCGGGCAACTTGCCATTATATCCCACGGCGACTGTAATCATCCGCTCGTTATTCGGCGCATAGCGAGCGGCCCTCGATTATCGATTCGGAATCCGGCGATTTTTTATCCAATAAAGAAACGCTCGGAGCTTTTATCGTCGTGCAAAATGCAGCTCTCCAACCCATTCGCCACTTCCGTTACTACCACTACTACCGGCGCCAGCAATTGGCCAATCGTTCTCAAGCTTAGATCCCCGTTTTGTATTCGGAACGCAACTTCTCACGGGCAGGATAGAGGTATCAGTCACAACGATTCTTATACCGCTATATTCAATGTTTTTCTATAAGCGACAGACACAATAACGAATAATTAACAGTATCTATAAATAGATACGTTTTAATTCTATGTAAGAATAAGTTTTCTTTTATTGTTATAAATTATATGAATGACTCTTTGTCTGCAATCTAGATCTTTTTTCTCCAAATTCTTTTACTGTTCTAAGCTTAAAAAGTTCACGGTTATTTTGCAATATTTGTATTACACACCAAATAGGTTTTTTATTCAAATTTAAAAAATCTTATTTAATAAGAATTGAAATTTGAGTAAAAACGAAGATGAAATTTGGAAGTGTAATTTCGTTTGTGCCAGAAAAGACTTTAATTGCAGATGGAAGAATAATAATTTCCCCATATATCTCTCTTAAGGAACCGAAAACTCGACTTAAAAATATTTACTCTTCGATTTTTAAATACAATTAATCTCCATACAAAATAAATTCGAGATCATAAAGTCTATAAGATGTTCTTAATATGCATTTACATTGAATAAACGAAAAATGATTTCAAAAAGATCGCCCGAAGACAAGCGTGTAAATATCTCTCGATGCCGCATTGAAAACTTCGCGCGGTGGGTTTCTTCCGCGGTGAATCGAACGCGCGTGCCCACTTTTTTCCGTCCGCAAATTCCGCGGCGTATACGTATATATGCCGATTCGTCGTGGTCGACTCCTCGTTAAAGCCACAGGCCATCGCGTGCGCAGTCTTTAGAACGCGTCATTTTGTCGCGTTTATCGATCGCCTTTTTCTGTAATTACTTGCCATCGGGCGCTCTCGAGGCGTTCTCCCCTTCACGGTTTGTGCGAAGGACGCTCATCGTGCAACGAGACCGCACTGAACAATGCGTACCTACCACTTTTACGAAGAAACACAATGTCACCGTCGACGACCGTGCAAATCATTAACGATCTTTTGAAACCTTTTCAAATAAAATTTTTTTAAAATTTATTAAGAGAGACATATCGAAGTAATCTAACATAGGAACGCTATTCTATAAAAAAAATTGAGTTCTGCAAAAGTTTGAATAAGCGCTTTAAAATTGCTTTTTCTAAAGGGGGGAAATAAGGTTACGAATTTTATTTTAATAATTTAAAAGTGAATTTCTCCCGAATTTATGTATGCGTACCGATATTAAATCCCCAAAAAGTTTGGCGAACAAATTTCGATTTGTTGCTTGATCACCTGTACGTGTGCACGCACTCTGATGCGTGTGTGCGCGCGACTGTCTACAGGAAAGAGACAGTGCCGGGCATTCGTGTAGACAGGTAGGTGCAGATTCGCGTGTGAGGGCCGTGTACACGCGTGTACATATATACACACAAGAAACAGGAGGCGTGCCTATTTATAACGGTGATATCATCGCCGATTACCTACGCTTTCGCGTGGACAATCGTAAATTCTCGTAGCAGAAGGGTGTGCGGGTTTGATGCCTTACCGAATATCCGTCGCGATCCTTTTTTCCATTTCTTCTTTATTTTCTTATACCTTTATATATACTTTACATATATAAATATATAAATAATATATTAAAAATATATATTACTTATTTACAATTGTTTGTGCATGTTGTATAAAAAAAACATTGTAAGTAACATAGTTTATATATATTTGATTATATGTTATTTATGTAAAATATGTTTTTTTCTTTGTGGTTTTTAATATTAGATCGAATATAATTCAAATCTTACAGATATTTTCAACAATTCTGAATTCTTTAAATCTTTCATGTCTGACTAAGAATATCCTTTTCCACTGGCTTTCACGAACTAATTATAATAATATCTGATCACATTCGTAATATTCTGAAGTAAAGTGAATATAGATTATGTAATAAATGGAAAAAAATTAATACTTGAAAAGAATAAATTTATTATTATAAATATCATAAGTATTACAAGTAATAATAATAATTCACGATAATGTTAAAAAAAGAATGATAAATATTATTAATAAAACAATTTCTTACTTAATTTGTATCCATTATTAATTCGTGCTTTCTCATTGATTTTTATTAAAATGTTTTCAATTTCTCATTTACACGGTTTTTATAGTTTACGAAATTTGTTACAAAAACATTATATCGCATATCAGACAGAATTTCGACAAGTTACGTAAATAAAATAAGGATGTGTCTGCTTTCCCGTATCTATATTTCGTAGCGTTACAAAGCGACGTAATGAATCTCTTAGAGTGCTCCTTCGCGGGTGTATCGCGTGTACTTGAAACGCGAAAGTACGCCGGTTACCGATTATGCCGAGCTAATTATCGTCGGCGTATCTCGCCCTAAACGACGACGATGCATACACTCGTTATACCGGAGCACGAATTTGCGCGCTCGTTTCGTAATGGGAAATTATGTCAGAATTATGCACCGTGCACTCTCAGAGGCCTCCTTTCCATCCTGTAAAACCGATAACCTCGAGTAGCTCTGCGACCGCACGCTTAATGAAACAACATCATTAATAAAACGCGACATACTCATTCGGTTATTACAAAAATGAATGTTTTTTCTTCTTTTTTTTTGCACAACAATGATAGATTTGCAAACAAACGATCGATTAAAGTCCTTGCTATTGTGAATTCTCTAAAGTGGAGAAATTTCTCTCTAATTTTATAATTATCTATTCCTTAACTATTTTTAGTCATATGGTTTTCTCCAAAATATAAGAAATGCTTTATGAAATCTTACTTTGTTTTTTCTTCTTAAAAACATAAATTATCTTTAGATTAGGCATTTAAGATTCCAAGACTTCAGATATATTTGATAATAATTAATCAATTAAGTTGAGCCTTCCCTAATTTCATAGCTACTGTTCTTTAAAAATTTTTAATTATGTGTTTCCAAACTCCTTCAAAGTAAAAAATGTTTTATGAATAATAAAATCTTACTTTGCATATTAAACAGCAACATAAATTATCTCGTATTTAAGAACTCCAAGATTTCAGAGTCGTTGCTCCAAGTTTAAAAAAAACGAAGCTCTGAATCCACCAGTAAATGGCGTCGAAAGCGAAGGCGCGAGGTATTTTCACCGTGAAACGAATCGCGTTGAAACGAATTTTGTGCCGAGCACTAATTGTCGCCAACGATAATGCGATACGAGATTCCTCTGGAATTTCATGTAATTAAAAGGAAGATCCAGCTTCCTCTTCCCCGTAAACTGGCGATGGCAAAGGCCCGCGCCGATCGTTATGCTTATCTGTTAGGTATCTGTACGAGCATCGGCGCGATACGAACGACAAATATACCTCAAGCGAGCGTCTTAGGAGAGTTTCATCGATGTTTCGTCTCATTTCTTACCTTTCGTACGGGTACCTCGCGACGACCTTCGTAACCGTTGCATTTATCAAGGCGGCGATACACAGTCGACGAGTACTAGTTAGCGTTACCGAAGAAAAATACATTATTAAGATAAGACCCTCTCGACGATTTATGGCAACGTATTCCTACAAAGATAGTTCCGTACTATTAATCACGCATGTTTTTACAATTTCTTTTATTTTTCTCATTCTTGTTTTTTTTTTCTGCGTTAACCTTAGATGAATTAGACAATTGCATCAAATAACAAATTAAATAGCTCGAATTATGAGCTGCGATACTCCGAGCATCCACTTTTTATTGATCGCTCGTTACTGACAGTGTCTCCTTGTATAAGCAAGTTAACTTAACAAGACGGATTTACGGGGTCGTATCTTCGATTCTTGGAGGTAGGTTAAAATCTAGAAAAACTGATTCGATCAGCACGTACCCGCCATATACGCGCTTTTTCATCTAAACGTTCAAAAGCCGCGCGCATTATCACGAGTCAACCCGGTTTGCAGGTATACACGGCGTGCCTTTACCGGATTTAATTATATGACCGCACTCGTTG